AATCGAAGCCGCAAGGACAGAGGACGGGTCGTAGCGGGATGATGCTTGCCAAGTGACATGCGTATTTCGCTTCTGGTTCCGGCAATATTTGGTGCATGTCGAGTTCTCTTTTTGTAAGTAAACGAGGTTTTTGACTACACTCAGATCTTGAGTTGTGATCGAGATGAAAATGGTCCACATCTAGTTTACCGATGGTTGAGGGATGATGTCATGCTTGATGTACGGTAGGACTCGGCGTTGCTTGAGGTCTTAATGACGTTCACCCACACGGCGAAGAGGTTTCGAGATCATGGACCGACGCACCCGTACATACCCACCGCAAAGCTGACCTATTGTGGCCACGTACGAGTCGTTCGCTTCCGAATCAAGATATCCACGAATCATACCGACCCTCAAGAGGTTGACTTATGCTGCGGGTAATGGTGGTACTCCGAAATCCACTCATCGATGTTCAGTCTGTCACGAACCGCCACACTGATGATTCGAACCCACAACCATATGTAGTCACTCATAGTGAATATTACTCAGGAGCCGGTATTTGCATAGGACGCGCTCTCAGCACATGACTCAAACCGTGCTTTTCTCGCTGACGACCAAGTCCACAGTTGGAATCCCTGCATACTACCTTGTGTAAAAAATTTCGAGGGAGTGAATCGGTCAAGAATCGCGTGAATGTGATGTGCTTGCCTTCAGGAACATGCCACTACACAAACGGCAATACCTACATGGGTTCATGGAAAGATGGGAAAGCGTGTGGTACCGGGACACAGACCTTCGGCAACGGTGATCGCTACGACGGAGATAGGGAAGATGGCATGATGAGCGGCAAGGTAGGTTCCGCCCGCATGCTACTTAACGTATGCAGCAATGACATTTTATAGAACCTCATGCCGCTGTAGCTGTAGACGATCCCCCTCAAGATACTATGCCGCTCGCCGCGTCGGATCCGGCGGACCGCCGGGTGGTGTTCACCAGGGTACCTACGTGAGTGCGAATGGAGATAGGTACGAGGGGGAGTGGACGGACGATGAGAAGAACGGCAAGGGGCGTCAGACATTTGCCAGCGGCGGCGGGGGCGGCGGCAGAGGGGATGAGCCCGAGAAGGTGGCAGCTACCGGTGCCACCTTCGCACACGAGTGGTACGACGGGCAGTGGAAAGCTGGAGCATTTCACGGTCAAGGTGAGCCTTCCTCCTACTAACGCCAAAAGAGGAAGCAAGAATCGAAATGTCTAGTACACGGTGCGAAATATGTCTGACCCTTGTCCACACGTGGACGGCTTTCCAGCCGACTGCAGACAGCAAGTAGATAACTACGCGCCGTCTACAAAACGTTTCCCTTTGCGTCCATCCACCCGCCAAAAATACCGGTTTGCCTCTTGGGAGCACAATGCAGCACGGGTGCCACCTTTGCACGGTATCGTGGCGGTCACTGCGAAATTAAAGCTGAAATACTAAATACTTGCCTGTCCCAAGTGCACGTTTGGTACACAGGAGAATATCACTTCGCCGATAGCGGCGACGTGTATGTCGGTTCCTGGGTGGGGAACCAAATGCACGGGAAAGGGAAGATCGTGTACGGTGGTGACGGTGGAGAGTACCAAGGTGGGCTTGTGTCAAAGTACTGTAGAACATTGCGTAGAGCTGGACATCTCACAACACCAACTGGACCCAAGATAAAGTGAATGGTTGAGTGAATCGTCTGAATGTGGGGGCATCCTATCATTCGCATGGGGTACTGCTGACGAACCGCCCATACTCGACAGGCGACCTATGGCGCGATCTTCGACACGGTCACGGCGTACACAGCGGCCCCGACTCTACCTATGACGGTGCATGGAGCAACGACCGTAGGCACGGCGATGGAAAGCTCAGTGACAAGGACGGGAATGTGTTCAAGGGTTTCTTCAGAGAAGGTGTGCACCGGAATCAACATGGGAACCGGGAATTCCGCGCGTACGGCTACGAGGCAGTGATACGGGAGGTAGTTGAGGATATGTAGGTATGAGTTCAGCTGCCGGTGGCGATACGACGATGGCAATCGTAGCTCTTCGCGCATTGACTACCTTATAGTAGTGCTTCACCGCCGGCAGCACTGTTCGTGATTTGTTTACGTCCCTCTCGCCGCAGGAGAAAAGCATGGCAACGGTCAACTCAAGTCCGCGGCAGGCGACAAGATTCAAGGTGGTGACATGGCCGTTCTCGTCGATATTCGAAGGACCTCCGTGTAGCGTGCGTGCGTAGCGTTCATGAGATTCTTGTCATTGGTGTCCTGCAACAGAGTGAAAATTTACGTTGTTTGCGATGATGAGTGTCTTGGCCTTTTTCACGGAGTCGCACGTGGTACCTGTGGTTGACGGTGCTCGTTCGTTGGGCGTGGACTTGGTTGCACAGGGACTGTATCGCACATTACAGTAGGATATTCCCAACTGGCCAGGCAATAAAAATTGCTCTGATGCTTGTCGTACCTTCCTGGTATCTTCCTGGTATTACGGTAACGCGCAACACTTCCGCGAATTGTGTCGGATGGAAAGGTGTTTGGGACAACGGGCAGCTCACTGGCCAAGCGACGGTTCAGTACAAGAACGGTGATCGGTACACTGGCGGCTTCGAGAGGGGCCTGAGGAGCGGCGAGGGAACTATGTTCTCCGCCAAAACAAGGTGAGGCAATACTGGCGAAACATCATTGTTGAAATGCATGGGGGTTGCCCGAACCGATTGTTCAGTACGACCTCTGAAGTGAATCTCCGCGATGTTGTGGTTCCAGGAATCCATACGCTGTCGTCGTCTGGGGGGTATTGATGATTGTCAGCTTCAGATCGAAGCATCTTCGAGCCCGACCGAAAGCTCTTGCTGCCGTTTCCCTCTGAAATCATGTTCGTGAAAGTTACGTGTTCACCGGCACCTTCGAGAAGGGCGTAGAAAACGGTTCGGGTCGTTTGCGCCTTTCGTGCGGCGCGAGTGTGGAAGGGCTATGAATATTGGGCAATCTCGTCGGCAACTCGAAATTTTCGTTTGCACCTGACTCCGAATGGAACGACCCGAGTTACTGATGCTTGGTGATCCTTTCGTTCATGGGCTCGACAACCACGAAGGTCTGCGTAGTCGCACAGCCCCATTCTTCTTGATAAGTAGACTGCACCGATTCATCGTCCCGAAAATGCAATGAGTAAACGAGGTTTGGGCCCGCACATTATCGGAGGTGATTCCGTTATGGCATTCTTTTTCCATAGATGAAGTCTCTAGGTGCTTGGGGCTTCGTTGATGAAGATGAATCGCACCGAGTCGGACATGCACCATTCAGGACGAACCCCCGGGGCTCCCTTTCATTCCGCCCTGTTCTATGTGCGCCATCCGTTCTTCACAAGTACTTTTAGAATCGACCATCCACCCTGGCATGTTCGATTTGACGGGATGTTGCTTCGCGAAGAAAGGGGCATTAATCAGCATCATCTATCTTTGAACCCAGTATGGCAATGTCAAGGTGTTGCCAAAGCACGACCATCAGGAAATCGTATGCTCTCAAGTGGGACAAGTGCTTAGGGAACGAGGTAATCAGCTGCTGAGATGGCTTTAGGGGGGGGGGTTAGCGGTTAGACCATTCACCACGCGTCCTCGAGATGACGGAGCATTATTCCCACAGGATCGATCACCGATGACTGATCGTTCGTTCCTACTGTGGCAAAAAATGTCTTCCCAATTCATTCTATCCTATCGATGTTACTTTTCGCCTGTTCAACCACTTCCTATGCCCCAGATGTCTGTTAGGAGGTGGTCATTCAACCATTGTTCGAATGAATTGGGCAGTATGCGCGGGGTAGTAGGAGTGGGCGGTTGGCCCGGTCAGGAAACACATATGGGGCGCGTTTCATTGATGAGGCGGGCGAGACAGACCCGGGGAATGTGAGTGTTTTCATTCTGATAAGCTCAGGTGGGGGGCGACGTGGGCTAAACCCGATCGATTTCTGGCTATGATGTGCTACCGCGCTTAACTCCGGCACTCGCACCCCACTTGTCGCTGATTTTACAAAGAATGGTGGGGCATCCGCACAACAAATACTCGCACTTTGGCGCAATACACTACTGTATACATGCAACCCTATTCTGGTGGAAACTTCGTAATATTGGAAAGCCGAGACACACCAGAGGAATCGCTGCCTTATGTTCAACTTGTATGACAAGTGCTGAAGTTTCCCAGATAGTCGAAGACCGCGAGGAAGGTACATCGTAGGGTCCATCGTAGAGCATACCGCGCGGCCGTTTCCCAACTTTCAGCAAATAGTCCCGAAAGGTTTGGTCGACAGCGTGCAGTAGGCGTCCTGTGGGACACGCCGTCGGGGAAACAATGTCTATCAGGACACCCTTGACCTGTGTACAGCTCTTGTTGGCCCGTCAACGAGATGAGAGTGCAAGCTCGGAAGTCCGTAACAACGATACAAAAGTAGGTTCTGCACGAAATACATAAGACTACTGTAGACTATAGTCTAGTCTATGGTCCAGTCTGCAGACACGATTGCATCCTGTCGCCTGTTGAAAGGCAGCACGATTGCATCCTGACGCCATCTCCTGAAGATGAACCTGTGAGGCAAATCTTGCCCCGTGGCGGCACCCAAGACGCAAAGGGTGGGCCGCCTTTCCCTTCCCCCGGGACCAAGCGTGGATTTCGAAGCTTCAACCCTCCCTGTTCGGTGTGGCCACAACAGAATACGCCAGAGCCAAGCGCCAAATATTTCGCATATGACGCGAAGACTTCTCAGGGCGTGCATACGGGCTCAAGTATTGTACGTCTCCCTCGTGCCTGGTGTGGCAGCAAAGGGACGGATGGAGTGTGCTCCGAACGCTTTTTCTCTGTCTTTCTGTCGCCCTCTCTTTCCTGAACAATGGAGTGTTGGTAGAGTGTTGCCGGTGCCATCTTCATTTGGGCTTTGGGGGGGGTACGGTTTGGTGGCCCCACGTCGCGGCACCCCCACCATCCACATCATCACACACACGAAACAGAAAAGGAGCTACAGCAGCTCGTCAACGCTGCTCATATTCCAGGTAATGAGAAATCAAGACCGCGAGAGTGTTTGGTGTTGGATTGTCAAGATTGTTGCCTTGTAGCACCTGGTTGGCTATTCGTCAACCCGTACTCAAGACTAGTCAAGCTGAGGGACACAAAATTGAGACAAAGAAAAACCGAGCGAGAAGTTGGGCAAAAGCTCGCCCACACAGGACCTCCCTCTGCGAGGCCAGGCCGTGGATGAAGGAGCTGGGAACGAGACAGTTGTTCAACATAGTTGCCTTGGCTGACTAGACTTTCCGGGACGGTTTGTCGGACTGGTGAAGGTTCCGTTCGGTGCCTGCTAAAGATAGGCTACTACTGTACAGCAGAAGTACAAAGACTTACAGCATGTAGACTAGACATTGTAGACACTGGTTCCTGGTACACCACTACGCATATACTGTAGCTGGTTTGAGACACGACGGTGTGCGAAGCGTCAACAAGGAGATAATGCGTTGTGTTGAAAGCCGGGAAATCAGGTTCACTGCATCGGCTACACGGTGCAGCAAGAACCGCACGTGTTTGGAAAAACCTCACAGCCCTACCGTTTTGCGGTGTGCGGGTGCCCCATGCCTGCCAAAGACCCAAAGAGTTCGCGGCAATGGAGCACTCACAAGAAAGCAGCAGTCTTCGAACGAACAGGGCTGGAGCAGGGAAGATGATCATTCGCTGCAATTGAAGCTGGACCCCTATGGGGTCAAGGTGGAATGATTGCGGCGGCTTCTCTAGACTATCTCTCGAACTCCTGGCGACTTTCCTCCGAGCCAGGCCAATAATCAACGACCAGATCACCATCAGCTGCCTTCCGTCGCGGTCCTTTTCACGGGTGGTTCTCTACCTGCTGTACACAAGGCCTGCTCAAAGTTCTGTCGCAGCGCCGGTAGCTCTCAGCGCACGTCCTCATAACGCTACCAAGCAAATTACGTCTTACATATGCGAACGGGTGCGCTACCCCAAAACGACGCGAACGAGCTAAAATTAGTAGACTAGCTGTGGTTAGCTCCGTCGAGTACAGCGTGTACATATAGCTACATCATTGTGTCAGCGATCGTGCATCTGTAGTGCAGTCACTGCTGTGGCAAGGTTCGCCGCCCACTGACTGATGCGATGGTGGCGAACATGTTGAAGCACTCGACTACAGCAGTCGGCGACGCCCATGAAGTGTGCTACAGTGCCGGACCCAAGACAAGAGTGCTCTCAATGCTTCATTTTCTCGGCACACACGGCACACACGCGCTCGTCGGCGTTGCTGTGTTCTCTTGTTGGGTGACGCTGCCTCTCGTCGTGTGCTCTGCTGTCTGTTAGGTATCACCACTTCATCGACTGGCTGAGTAAGATACAATGCTACAGTCATGACGGCGAGGAACGCTCGCTGCAGAACAGTACGGTATTTTTTTTGTCGCTGTTCTCCTCGTCTTCGTTAATGTGCAGTAGTGCCCGATGGCCGCGTTCACCCCTACCCGTTTGTCGCGCAACCCGTTCCAAGAATACGTTATCACGGTCATCTGATATGCATATATTGAGCTGTATGTACCGCGCGCGCCCGACAATCACTATCTGAAAACTGCAAAATTCCGATCCTACCGCTCATAGACCGTTGGTCTCAAGGGGCACAGCGGATCACGAATCTGGCCAACGACTGAGGACAATTTCCTACAGCAACATACACAGTACTGCGAGATTGTCCTGCGCCTACAGTAGCACACACAACATGTCGTGGTGGTACCGCCTCCGCCCGCTCTAGAAGTAAGTGTGTTTCTTCTATCCCCCCCGACCGTGGTGCTTTCCCTTGGCAAAAGGACGGGCGAATCATTGCCCCTTGACGGGGTCAATTGACCGTCGCATTGCTGTTGAGGTATTATCGCATATGTTTGTGTTTGGCAGAAGCCAACCATCGTTGCTACCCAATTTCACGTTGACAACATGACATGATTGTTATGGATGGTCAACACCCCAGTACCGTCAGACCATGGAAGTCGATGAAAGCCGTACGTCGGATTCCTGCGCCATCTTCCATGGAAGTTGGACCGACTCAATGGAATTTGTTTTGTTTCCATCGAAGTAACACGTGGCTGCTTCCGGAAGTATGTTTAACTTCTACGAACGGGTGAACAGCTTTTATGGAATTCATGACTTCCATGCAAGTTCGTCCGTCGAACTCCTTTCCGAAACTGTTCGGTACTTAGTGGAAGCACGGCAACTTCAATGAAAGCAATTTGCACGGAAGCGGTTTTCAGACCTGGAAGTCAACTTCGATGGAACGTCGACAACTTCATCAACGCAACTTGCACGGAACTGTTTGTCAGGGCTGGCGCGCAACCTCCCTCCATGGAATATTGCATGAAAGCAATATCCTTGGAAATGTGTCAGTGATGTCTCACGACTTCCATGGAGGTACGACAACTTAACACACAACACGAGATAGTACGCTCCCCGAAGAATACAATACCCGGTGGCATTTAAAAGCCTTAACTTATCGATCCGTAGTCAACCATATGGTACGGAGGTAGTGGCCGCCTTAACGTTCCTTTCGGAGGGTTCTGCAAGAAATGGAAAATTGCCACGTGTGTTTGGGTTTCAAAGACGAGCAATTTCTCGTTACCACGTCCTCCAAGTCGTTCACGATGGTGTTGTCCATGGAGGCGGGCATCCTACTGAAGGATTGCTATTGAAGCTTCACGTGCACGATTCAATGACATTAGACCTTCACGGTAACCTCCATGGAAACTCGACTCCGGTGGAATACTTCCATGGATTTATGCCATGAAGCTTTCATGGAGGTCGAAATATTTTCTTCCTACACTAGCTCTGCCATGGAAGCTGCTGTTAAACCTCCTCTACCTTATTGTCCACGGAAGTTCCCTGGACGTCGATGGAATCCGCTTGGCGAGCTTGTATGGAAATCAGATGTAACAAGCTTACATGGGAAGCCACACAGTTTTGTCAAAGAGTGTAGGAGATCGCACTGCATGGGATTCTCATCTCATTTGTGGGCTACAAGTTTTAAAGGGATTCCCCGGTTCCAAATACTTCTGTCGTTGTCTGCTATTGTTCCAAACTTCTTTGACGAACAAGTTCTCATGTGGTGACATGCCTTGTTGTGTAGCGCCGGTATCGAAGCTGAATGTCTCCTCCCCTTCCTCTCTTCTCGGTTCCTTGGACCTTGTCGTTCAGATTTTGCAAACGATCTGAGGGGACTACATAGACTTGGTGTGGGGTTCACCGTATTGTGTCTTGTCAAGTGGAACCATCCTACGAGTGCTGTAGGCGTGTTGGCGTGACATTTCATGCCACTCCATCTGTCCTGCTTTCATGGTGCAGTCCTCGTGACTTCATTCTGTTAAACATTTTGCCGCGCGTACCCAATCTCATGTGGAATCGATCTCTGCCCCTGCGTATTTCACCCCCTTCCCAGAACCTGAAGCCAATCCAGATCACTGAGAATCGTTTTGGGCTACCTGGTTGATTCTGCCTCCCAGGTAGAATGGACGAGAACAAAGCCACCTCTACGGCTCAACCAACGGACAACAACACGCTTCCCGTCTACAACAACCGCACGAATGATGTTCCGTCGACACGATCTTCATCGTCCTCGCCAACATCGTCATGTTCCTCGTCGCGTGTGACCCCATATTCCGGTCAAGATCAGCTTGACGCACAGCTTGCAAACTCATCGGTATCAAGCGAAAGCCCAGCTCTGCATGATTTAAATACTCCCGGCCAGGCAGCGGCAGCGGGCACGAAGGAAGGTGTGTTCCATAAGTTTTTCTTCAATATTGCGCCGACGCCTCAACCGAGAAACATATGAGCCATAGGTTGAAGATACGATTCGCGGGTTTGTTCGTTTTTCGCCATTCGACCGCTGAAATCGACCGTTTTTGTACCATTATTTGCCTCTTGTTATCTGCATCTCCTTCCATGTTCTTCTGTCTCAGCTGTTATTCGATCTGCGAACGTTTGGCTATTTTCTGTATTGCGGGCGGTTGCTGCAGGCTACATGAGAAGCGACCCATTTGGGTAGAACCTTTCCGTCTCAATTATTGCTTTATTGGATATTATTGGAGACGCCGAAGCGGATGGCCTGCCTTTTTTTGAATCCTTGTGTTGTGGGGACAAGCCCCAATTATTTTATCCTGAGGATATGCGTAGAAACCCTGGCGTCTGGGTAAATTTGTATGGTGTAGCCGTCGCAATCAATGTGTGTCTCCCTTTGAGGTGCCATATGCATATTTTCGGGCAACGCGTTCATACCTTACGGCACTCGAGGCGTTGACTGTCGACTATTGTCTGCAGGCCCATGGTAGTCCACACTTTTGGTACAGTTCACGAACGAGGGCTTTTCTTCTGACACGTCGCCGGGCACGACAGTTGGATACGCTCAGCGCAATCAACTTCCTGTCCCCACTTGCTTTTGAAGCTTTCGACGAGCCAAATGCCGACAACTCAGCAATCGTGTGCTTTACTCTCAGCACCCTTGTCTATACCCAACATCTGAGTGTTCCTCTTGATCCTGATTTTTGTAAGAGAGCCGGAAGAAGTGGTGCCTCACGGCTCAGCATGAAACTTTTCATGCGTATTCGCTGACCCGAATCACTCAGGAGCCGACAAGTCCGGGGTGGTGCTGAAGTACCTCCGAATAGGACGCCCACAGTGTTTCCGTCCCTTTTCCTCTCCTGGCTCGCCTCCCTTTTTTGGGCTCTGTGTCCCGTGCAGGTTCGGGCCCGTACCCCTTGCGGCCAAGGCCCACCCACGGCGCGGTGGTGAAACAAGCACTCAGCATATTCAAGTCTTCCGCATCACAGCCCAGCATATTCAAGTCTTCCGCATCACAACCCGGCGGCCCCGGTGTACGAGTCCTGTCGACATCCCCGTCATCTCCAGCTCACACCGCAGTCCCTCCCGCAAAGGAACCACCCATACCAATGCACTGCCAGGTGCAAACGAACAGCGAACAGTAAGAGATTCGCGGTCCCTTCACTTTCAGTTTTGAAATGGCGATGTTGTCTGCTTCGAAAGCTGTGACCTGATCACCCCGTTGATTTTAAATGTTCCGACCAAAAAGTCGAACATATCTTGTCGATTCTGCTCTTGCACGGGGGCCCGGATCCGGGAGAGTCGCGTTTTGGCAGGTATCTCGGGTAGGCGATGACGTCAAAGTTTCCCGGCTGGGCCATAGGTAAGAATAGAGTCTGCCCATCGACTCATCATTATAATCTTCTTGTCAGAGCTTTTGCGTGGTTCTGTGTGCGTGGCGGTGCCGCCGAAAAGAAGTTTTTAGTGTTGTTGTCGTTGTTGTTGTAGTTGTCGTGTCTGGAGCGTTTTCCCGTGTCCCGCGGCGCGTTCAGGGCATAGGCATTTGTGTACTGGTTTGACGCCGAAAATGGACGGTACGAATAAGGCCCATTGTGCTCCCCTCCCGAATATGCAGCACCGAGGGTGCTCGAATCTGGCGAGGTACGGCCCTCTGGACTCTCCACCTCGCGCCTGTCAGTTGCATAAGAGGGTGGGCCAGTTCACCACCAACCGCCATGGAGCACTGTTCAGAGCCACCCGTGAAGGAAACGGTGAGGAAGTAGCAGCTGAGGCGCCCGTTCTCGTCTGCCAGTTCGGTAAGGTCAGGATTCGTGGCCGTGCGTGCAGCAAGTTGATCTTGTTGATCACTTTCTGCGTTGACACTTTGAATGTCTTCGACATTGCGCTCCTCTTTCACGTTTTCAGACCGATAAATTGTTGAGACACAAGCACTCACACAATTCATACGTGAAGTGAGCAGTCAACCGTTACTCTCGTGTGAGCCCCACCCCTCGCCACAAACGATGCGAGAATTCGTCATTAATCCACCCCCCGTATCGTTCCTACATATCATCTTTCCTCGGTCATGTGGATCTCAGCTTTTCGGAAACTGGCGGCAGCTACCGTCAAGTCTCCTCCGCCCTGCAGCATCAACAAAGGTAAAATCAAGAGCAGCCGCGTTGCAGAAACTTTCGGTGTTTGTGTTTCACCTTCGACCTCCCCTTTTCGCAAGCTTCACACTCAAAAGACCCCCGCTATTTTCGCTGTATTTGCTTACTGGCCTCGTCTCCGAAACGACGCCGTACTTCCTTCAGCCATGATTTTGCTGCTCTCGGGAGCGAACGGCGAATGCGACAGGCCTTTCTCAAATAACCGAAGTGTGATGTTGAGATGTCTTCTTCCCCTTCATGAAAAAACCGCACCACGGAACAATGAAGTGACGACAGAACGTGCGACACCACTGACCTTTCCGCCGAACCCCTCTTTCAAACCCAACTGGCCTTAGGTGACTTGGTGGCGTCGGACCAATCCCGACTACCTTCGACAGGAAGCAGCGGCGCGTCTTCTTCCTCATCCCACCCTAAGCCGGAGGAGACCTCTGGCACTCGGGGGCAAGTGTTGAAACGTGAGACGACGAAGGTGGATGGAGGGGGGCGCAAAAGACTCTGTTATCTGTCCAGTGTTGTCTTGCACGGTGTATGTGCTGTTCGTAGATGTACAACCTGACACATGATGCAGATAGTGCTAGGGTGAAGAGCACCCCCGGGATGACGGTGACTTGTTGCTCGTTTCCGTGGAAATTTTGAGCGTGTAACAACAAGCAGTAGCTTGTCCTTGTTCGTTTCCTGCTTGATCGGTCTCTACCAATCTGTTACACTACTATTTTCTCCAAATCCCAGGCGCCAACCGACAGGGAATATCCGGTGGGCACAACGGTGGGAGCCAGTCGTCGCGGAATCGCACCTGCCTTTTCCCAGGGTGAGAAAGATCGAAACCGAAGGCAGAGACTCGCAGTCCTCCACTTCCTTGACAAGCAACACCTGCAGTATGGTCGTTTTTTGTGCCACCGTAGAAGGTAGAGGGATGTTTTGTGAGCCTTCCGTGGCAGAGTCCGATATCTTGTGCGTTCGACAAGCGAACGAATATTGTCGGGCTGAAAACAAAACCATGCCGTTGTTGATGCTTTGCGACTCATCTCTGCCTATTTTAGGGCATTTTATTTCATAGGGACTGGACTCCACCCAGGTCCATCGCCAAACCCACGTCACGCCAAAAGTACATTTTTGCCGTTTGTTCGTGTGTTGATGGATGGAGACCGTATGAGAAACGACCTGAAACGGAGACCAAAGGATTCTTGGTAGGGACGTGCGGCGTCAGTCGCTGACAAGGAACAACAGCCACTGGTAGCCTTCCTGGTAAGAAATGAGTTCAAGGTTCCACGAATATCTGAGTATTCGACATGTCTGCAATCGTCGCCCGTACCAGATGTGACGCTCGGCCCGACTACGGCCTGCCGGGTGCAACGCGCGCCATGTACTGCTTCGCCCATAAGAAGGCTCCAATGGTGCAGCTCTTCAAGGAACTACCTGCCCTTCCGAACAAGGCTGGGTAAGCTGAGAGCGCTGCTACCCCACTTGTCACACGGTTGGTTTTGGTTCGGGTTTTGGTGTACAATAAGCATTTGAGTGTCAGGAGTACAGACGGTACTTGAAACTATCACGAAACAGTTGCTTGCGACTGTCGTACTGTGGAGGGTCCACATTGAGAGTGGGTTCCCCGAAAGACGGTCGATGCAGCCGTTTCTTTCTTGCTTCATGTTTCCTACCAGGCTACAGATGAGCAACGAAGTGTTGCTTTGTTTCGCTTGTCGGCATCCCAGAAACCTGTGACCGAAGTCCTTTCTTTGAGGACATTGAAACATAAGTGCTACACCCAACCGTTGCCTGTTGCGTCACATCGCTGCAGGAACGCCACCACCGGTAAACGCAGCCAGGGTCCCGCTGCAGCAGCAGCAGCTGCTGCTGCTGCATCAGTCGGAGCAAACAAAACCCGAGCGCCGAGTAACATAGATCGAAATGGGGCTAAGAAAGCGCGACGAGGGCCACAGGAAACGGAGGAAGACAATGACGTCGATAGCGGAGGCAAGCACACCAGCAAGAAGAGGCGTTCAACGGGCGGAAAAGACGAACGGGGCGGAATTTCCAGCGCCAAGGTGACAGGGGAAAACCTGACGAAACCCACCGTGAAGACTTCTGCATCGTCCCTCCCTCCTCCAGCTCCCGCTTTCGAACCCAATCCCCCCTCTTCGTCCAATAACCGGTTGGCCGACTCGTCGGGGATGGCCCCATCCGTAGAGTTTCTCGTCCTTAGGCAGGCGAGGGAGGCTGCCAAGACGGAGGCCGAGGCCAGCGGCCTGGGCAGAAGGCCCCGCGCGCCGTCACGGCGGGCCCTGGAGGCGGCGGGCCGGCTGAAGGGCATCGGTGCACAATGGATGAGTCGCGAGAAAAAGGCGGAGGATCTGAGACTCAAGGCGGAGCTGAGGCTGCAGCGTAAGCAGTACCAGGCGGCAGGCCTGAAGTCTGGGGTTGTGCTAGAGATGTTCGTACCGGCGGCGACCGGGACCGAGGCAGCGGGCGATGGGATCGAGCAGAGGGATGGGGAGGTAAGAGGAGAGGGGGGAGCAACCACGCCCAGAGGTAGTAACCCCGGATGGCACAAGGTGTCGCCAGAAGCTCTCTCAGCGCCTTCTTCAAAGCAGCATGGTTCGGGACAGGGGAAAGGATCTTCCGTAGGAAGAAGACAGAAGCCTTCAAAGCAAGCCAGGTCCACCGCTGTAGCGGAGAGCGGTTAGCTCCAAGGCCTTCACCACAGTTTACGGTACGGCATGAGTGCTGGACGCTGCGTCGACCGACGGCGTGGCGTCGTGCTGCTGCTGCCGCCGCCAATCCCTTCCGGAATCGAGCAGGAAAAAATGATGCTAGCCATCCAGGAAACGAGGAGCTGGTAGTGCTCTCGGAGAATTATTCGAGACACTACGTTCTTCAATTGCGGGGAAAAGAGGCACGGGGAGAGAGACCAAGAGTGAAAACCAAGAGTGTTACAGAAATGTACTAACGCCTGGATTGAAAGGTGACAGCCGGAATTGAAGGTGGAAGTTGGACGCCAGCGCTACAGAGTCGACAGCGACTGGCGAGCAAAGGGTTGAAAGAGCGGGTCGGAGTACATGTTGTTCTCCGTGGAAACGATGTGCTCCGTACTCGAGGCAGGCACTGAGAAAAGAGTACTGTTGCGTGTTACTTTTTGGAGTTCGCCCACAGGTGCATGCCCAACAACGAACGTCTTGTAAGCCCCCTTTCAATTTCGCTACTGGGCGCGCTCTAGCGGGGTGGGCATATGACGGATTGATTGGAGCTCGTCAGGGCGCAGAGTTTGCATGTGAAATTATTTTCTGCCCGGAGGATTTACTCGTAGTGGCCAATGTATCGGGAGATCTTACGAGCTAGCGGCCGGTGGTAGCGCAGTTTTGGCTGTCTAGTGCCAATTTCAATTATTCAAAAATGTAAATGTTGACGTGGTATGTACATGAAGGCCTTGTTCAACGCTAGGTGCCCGAATTGTAATCGTAGCGTGTTTTGCAGCGGCCATGCTGCGTCGGCCTACAGGTTGCAAAGAAGCAGTTAGGTGTATGCGCAAACGCACGGGATATGTCTGTCGATCGGAGGTAAACGCAGTGCCGGCCGAACTCCGCGTTGCATGTTGGAGAATGCCTATCGGCAGGTAGTCCGTGTGGTTATCTTCTTGGACGAGAACGTGTTGCACGTGTTTCGTTGAGGAATAAAGTTGGCCGTATCATTGCCGTATTCGAGTTTTAGACATACCCACAAGAGGAGAGGCTCGGGGGCGATACTGCCAACGATAGTACTGCTGACGGGATTCACTCGAGATACCCCAGAGGAGAGTTAGCTCTCTTTGCGGCTTAAATCAGTCCACCGACAGGAGGCGGCGTGGGCCTGCTTCTTGCAGTTTAGTCTAACGAGAGGGTCACAATGCAGGTGAGGCGTCATGTGGCATGCAACAGGGCTCACCGTTGCGGCACGTACGTCGCAACTGTCAACGGGGAGTTGGCTCACAGAGTGAACGTCACCTACCAGTGTTCGGACCAAGCAACACATGGTTAGAAACACGCGCTCGTCCATGCCGCCAGATATCCATTTCGTGCGAGAGTCTGGAGGTTACAAAAGTCGACGATGGAGGCAAGGGCCCGTAGGAAATAGTATCAGCGAGGAAAGAAGTGATTTTGAGATGAGGGAGCGACCGCGCCGCCACCGGGAAATGCCATGCTCCGGAAATCCCAAGCACACGAACGACACAACGCAAAAAGCAACCGGCTTTCAACACCGTCGGAAATCTCCTTCAAGTACTACTGCGGTAGGCACACTCCCACAGCAGGTACCAATGATTCCTGCATTGCTGAAGGTGCCCAGACATTCTTCTCGCTACAAGTACAAGCCGATTGGTTCGGTGCGTCAGGTTGGACTCCAAACTCGACTCCGGCTACATTCAGTTCAGTGCTCAAGTACTGACCTCGGTCGTGAGATTGGCACGTGGGATACACTTGGAAAATCTACGCCGGCCCTCGGGAACGCCCAAACATATTCGGGGTGGAAGCACAATGCCCACGACACACATCCATGGGTCTGAAAATTTCGAAATTTCGCATGTTCGCAGCATCGCACAAGTGCATAGCTTTCACATCGGGCTTGCGTGCAACTAGCGAATACGGCATTGATACGGCCAAGTTCTCCACAAGAAACACCTACAACAAGCTCTCGTCCTTGAAGACAATCACCTATACTGCCGATATCCTTAGTGGACAATCTCGAACATACAACCTCATTTCTCAGGCTATCCATAACTTGGGTTCACTACATAGCATAGCATCAACGATCCCCACAACCCTTCAGCATTCACACTTCACTTCATTTACCAGCACAACCACAGCACATGTCCCACATCATCTTGGAACTGTAGAATAAGTTGTTCCGGTCTCGCACGGACCCCCATTATCTTCGCACTCTCGACCGATCCGACACCGCGGGGTCCCGGCGAATAGGAAGCTTAGCCGCTGCGTTTCGATGCCCCTGCCCCACCTCTGCCTCTCCTGAGCCGGTACAAGTCTTCTTCCTCTTCTCTCGCGCCAAAATCGACGTCGTCGTCATCATCGTCGTCGTCTAGATCACTGTCTTGATCTTCCTCTCCCTCTTCGCCGGTCGTGACGCGACTGTATCGCCCGCCGGCTGCGCTCGTGCGGCCGGGGCAGATGGCGTTGCAGCAACAGCAGAGCCACCACGGACAGCGTCGGCGCCACTTGGAGCAGCAGGTAAAGAGCGACATGAACACGCAGTCGATCACCTGGTGTGGAAGGGACACGCACGCGACGAAATCAGTACAAGCATGTTTCCCGACACGCTTGTCTTGGAGTGCTCCGCCTTTGCTCGTATCCAATTCTTGGGGATCTTCAACGCTGAACAACGAAACAACCAGGTCCTGTCTGGGATAGATCGTGCTCCATTGTCACGATATGTGTTGGCGTTTTCGCTTCCCATCATGGTGCTTTTTCACGACACCAGAGTTCGATAAGGGCTGTGAGGGTGGCCTGGATTGGCGGAAAACCGGACAGCCATAACTCAAGGGCTTCACAGGCATGCGAAAACATAATAGAAGTACGAGTGGTCCCACAAACCACTGGTGTATGCGTATCACGGCCGGCTCGAACCTTCATCTCGACGGACCCAAACTTCGAATTCCCCACAACCAAAGCGTGTACGAAAACTAACCCACACACGCAAGTAAAGCTGTCGGCGACATCTCTCCAAAAACACATTTTCTGCGCTGAAAGCCTCTTGGTTTTGAGGCAAAAAAGTAAAATTCGGCCTAGGGGGTATCCACTCACTCGCACTTGCAGCTTCTCCAGCTCTGCCAAAAGTCATGAGGGTAGCTTCAATACTACGGAAGGTTCGTGGAAACTCAACTTCCGAGTTCAGCGGCAACCTCTACTGTTTCCCTTCGGCGTTTTCTGCCCTACTTGTTTCTCTGCATGGATTCAACCATCTCTGAATTTTTTCGCTTATTGGCATGTGGTGCAAACTTTCTTGGGTCTTGTCGCTATCATTCTCCCTTCAGCTTGGGTTTGTAGGTAGCCCCACGAAAACTGTTCTCTGGGCTTCAAGAGCACGAAAGACCGAGTTGCTTGCAACGCGCCAGACCTGTTTGTAGAGTAAACCCCACGACAACAATGGCAGCCAAAGCAGCGGCATTGGCAATTCCCCCCAGACAGTTCGGAAAATGAAATAGACGTGAACGTGTCTTGGAAAGAATACTGGGCAGCCCTACGACCCTCAAGGCTCATTTACGCTTTCAGCTACCGCGCAGGCACAAGGTGTTCGGAGAGCTGTGTGCAAGGTCGCAGCACTAGATCCCCACCAAAATCAGAAAATTTTAGACACGGCTGGCGCTAACGGCCAGCCCTTGATTTCTGCGAACGGGAGATAATATTTCTCCAATGCCACCCAACATTGGTGATGGCAAAGAGAAGAATTTGGTTAAGATCGCCGAGGCATGAAAAAATACCACCAGGTTGAGGGGAGGGAGCTCAAGTTACGGGTGGACCGATGACGCAACGTGCTTACCCTCTCGGTGATGCAGCAGCAGAGCTTAGGCTTGTCAGGCGGACGTGCTTCTTCGGGCTCGACCCTCCACCGCATCTTCTGCACCTGGGGCAGGCGGGGCGGGGCAGAGACACCGAGTGCACGCCAGTAACGTTTATTTGTGGTATTTCGTATAGCTCTACATAAATCTGTGGAAACCAGAAACATGACGTGACCCATAGCGTCAAGCACTGCACATGCCCAATTGCACACCGACAGCAGTAAATTTCGGCCTTTTAAGACATGCAGCCGGTCATGCGTCAGGAAAGCTCATTTATATTGCCATGAGCACGTTGCAACTGTCTACACGACAACTCGAGAGCACATGTACAGCGCTGACGTCCGGACTCGCACGACGTTTCAATGACGGGCCACAGGAGCAGATATTTCATGTCCGAATAATTATTCATCAGAGACTAATCGCCCAGGACTCAACAACGGCGCGAATGTTCGAAGCCTTCTATCCGCGCTCCTCGCTATATCGGTCCTCTTGCCACAAGACACAGCAATAGCAACGCCGAACGAGAAACAAGCCTCACCTCGACCTGTGCTCTTCGCATGGGCTCCTCGCAGATCTCTCGTCGGTACTTGAGGGGCACCTCTGCCTCATACAGATCGATCACGTACCTGGCGTTGTGCATGTCTCGAGCGTCGTGTGCAAGAAGAAGAGGTACAAAAGGGTGGGCGGGTGAAGTGCATTGCGTGGGTAACACTGCCGTATCTACCCCCAAGAGAGACACCACCAAGAGACCATTTTTCTCAGGGTAGGCGCATCTGCCATTTTCCCGGCATGATGTAGACCCCAATAAATCGGCGTGACTGCCGTATGCGCGGTCATCTCATCAGACAACGATCGCGTCTTGGCTACTGTCTACCTCTACGTCATCGCGGTGTAACATCTATCCATTGGGCGCGTGTTGTTCCTCCCGGCAACGCTCGTGTGCTGTCCACTTGAACAAAAGTCTCTACTGCGTGGTTGAACGTGCATGCATTTTCATGTTCTCCCTCCACCCCAAGGCTACTGTACGGAACGGGGGGGCTACTACCTGGACGGAATCTTGATCCTTCAGTGGTGGTTGCGCAATTGCTATGGTTCCGGTACCGGCTACCCAGACTGGCATGAGGGAATGGATCCTGAGGGTGACTGGTACCGGTTACTCCATATTGCCTAACCTTTTTCACAGGAAATCTATTGCCACGAGCAGGGTGTGCAGCAGCAGGATCGTTGGTTCTACGTCACCAAGCACGAGAACGTGACGAGCAAGCTGACGATTCCCCAACCCTAATAAAACCACCAGGCTCCCTGTCCCCAAAATTATGACCAAGTGCCATTTGTTTCCGTTTTTCACTGCGGGCGGAGCAAAACGTCTGCACACCACCGTGGGGAAACAACGCCCACAACGAACAAGGGTCAGAAAATGAAGCACCAGTGGAGACGGAAACGAGGGATGCGTACTCCCCCTGGCAACAGGTTGAAGCGAGGCACTCACCCATTCACCTTAAACGCGACATCACACCACCCGCTCTGTGTGGAACGAAATCAAACAAGACTACTCTGGGTTACGAAAAACATAGGCAAGGAGGGGGTATCCGTGCTCATGACGCGGTGCAGAACCGTAGAACTCGCATTTTTGCTAAACGGAAATGGAGCACGCCCGGAGTTGTTCGAAGCAGGCTGAAGTGCCGTACATCAAGCTCGTTTGCGTTCGTAAGGAGGCAGGGCAGTGGCTCAAACAAGCTCGCCTGCACAGGTCCTGAGCGCTGTCCTTGCCGTACATCTCGAGATAAAGGAACCAGACGGCGGGGTTAACGCCGCGGTAGTCCACCCTCGACACCAACCCGTCCACCGGAGTCTTGAGGTCGTCCTTCACCAAGTCTGCCTCGAGTTCGATCGTCGAGGGTGACAAGCGACGGGATACACAGAGCGGGCGTGGGTCACACGTTCGAGAGATCGGCGGCATTCGGGAGACCGGTGGGGCTAGATATAGCAGCCAGCAACCGCAGCAGCAGCCGTCGCCGACGCATGATTGGGCCCCTCTTCCAATCGGTTGTTCCACCCCAACTTCACCGCTCCCAAATCTTCCTCGTGCCTTTTGCACCTCCACTCCGAAATCTACCGAAAAGCCCGACCGCACGTCGGCTGGACACGTCTACGATCCATTCCTCCTCGTTCTGAAGGTTCGAGTTTTGGATACATCGACTAGGGGGTAACCAAGACTGGATTTTCGGGTAAGGTGGTGCACTTCTTCAAAGATCCAAGAAGCCGTGCCATTTCCTCACTGAACGGTTAGGGAACTTGAGGCGGGGTTCAGCGGAGACGGGACCAAGATGTTGGAACACGTATGCTGGAAGTAGCGGGATAGACACCACGCTGTCGACTTCGGCCTGATGTTGCGCCACTGTTCGGGGTGCTAATGGCCCAACAAATACGTAGGAATTTTTTTCAAAATGTGTCCCGGATCTTCCAGATAAAGAAATAATCCAGCCAACCAGGTCTCGAGAACCGGTCCTTGGGCACCGCGAAAATGACATCAGCGAGAGAGAGGAGCACATACCATCTTTCATGCGTGTGAGTTATACAAGAAGTAGATAACAAGCGGTGGCGAAAAAATCCCACAGACGCACGTGACAAGCGCGATGCCAGCAAAGAAGTTAGTTTGCTTGGTCCTTGCAGGTTGAGGCTTGTGTTGTTGCTGCTGCTGCTACTGCGATCGTGATGTGGCAAAAAAAAATCCGTTGCATCCAGACTGAAAACGTTGTCTGTCATCACAAATGCCGCGCCGGAAAACAGAGAAGACACTGCTAGACATTGCTTTATCCCCACCGTGCCTCTACAACGGAAGACATGATCTAGTGATCCCTGACCCTGTGGTTGGATGTCTGGGCTCGTAGGTCACGCAAGCGAGATCGACACAATCGGGGATGATTGTGACGTGTAGCTCTTTTTTTGGCTCTTTTGGCCCGTTCGGCATTATTTTTTCAACAGTATACTACAGTCCCCCATTGGGCGGTGGAGGACTTAAAGCCAAGACACCCCAAAACCCTCCGGCGTGAGATCCAAAATGGATCGGAC